CGAAGCGAAGTCAAGATTGTTCAGGAAACGTGAACTACATTGAACTCAGTTCTGGGGCATGACTTTAGGGTTTTGTTTTATTCTTTGTTGTTGTTTTTGGGTTTTTTTGGTTTTTCTTTGTTTTTTTTTTTTTTTTTTTTTGGTTTTATTTTTCTTTTTTGCAAGAATATAATGATCATTCATACGTATGTCCACATTTGTGAGTCCGCATCTTTCTGGTAAACATTGTTTTAATTAGTTACTCATTAGTGATTTCAATAGGGCTTTTAAGTCCAGTAGATTACGGGTAGTCAGTTGACGAAGATCTGGTTTACAAGAACTAATTAAATGTTTCATTGCATTTTTGTAAGAACATAGAATAATTTTATAAAATGTTTGTAGTTTATAATTGCCGAAAATAATTTAAAGACACTTTTTTCCTCTGTGTGTGCAAATGTGTGTTTGTGATCCATTTTTTTTTTAGAACACCTGTTTATTAGCTAGGTTTACAATATGCCAAAAAAAAGAAAAAAAAAAAAAAGGAAAGAAAAGGAAAAAAAAAAAAAAGATTTCCTTGACCCATTCTGTTCTTTCCCCTTATGCTTTGTACCCCATTTTATAACAAAGGAATGTTGATTTAAAACGCAATTCTGTATCTTCGGTATCTTGGTCTTGGCACAACCCTCTGGTTGGGAAGGGGACCATTTTTTTTTTTTTTTTCTTTTTCTGGTCATTTCCCTTTGGAGTGTAGCAGCTATTTTAACAGATGAAAGAACCTCATTGGCAATGAAAACAGAAGTGTTTTGGCCCAAGACTGCATGGCACCATTCAATAACTCATTTGGTTGGAGTGGTGGTTGCCCTGGTTAGGCAATGCTATAAAAATGGGCCAGATTGTACTGCAGAGCTAATGGTTTTCAGTTATCACAGCAATCAGATTTGTCACACAAAGACCGATCATTTAGGGGCTCATAGGTCATTCGTACACACATTTCTTACCACGATTCATGTTCTGTTATAACAAGGGAGAGACCCCACTTATTTTGATTGAAGGCAGAACATCGAAGAGAACGTTTTTCCAATCTGGCACTAGTTCTTTTTCATCAAAACAACAGCACAGGGACCAGCAGGTGGCGTCATCGTTGAGGTGCTGGATTCCCACGTGGCCGACCACGGTTAACTCTTAGACCTGGCGGATTGAAATTCACGCTGGGCACGTGTGCGTGCATGCCCAAAGTCCCAAGGGAATAGAGGAGAAGGGATTGTGGCATGGCCACCACCCCGGGAAGGTATTTTTTTCCACTTTTTGTCTCTCTGTCTCTCTGGTGAGTGCACACACCTATGGGAAAAATATAGCCAAAAAAAATTAAAGGCACATACACACTCACAACTTGTTTCAGCATGTCTCTTTCCTCCAGTGCCCAGGGGATTATGGACCATGTCTACACAGCTCCATAAAATCCTCCTTCATTGACAACATCGGGAATTTTTTGCACTACATAGGAGAAAGGCCCGGAAATGATTTGGGTTAGGTTTTTTTGTTTGTTTGTTTGTTTTTCTTTTTTTGTTTTTTTTGGGGGTTTTTTTTTGCTTATTTGTTTTCAGTTTTTCATTGGGATATTTGGCATTACACAGACACACCTACAGGTGGATAGATGCCTGGTGAAAACACCTGTCTGCTTTCTAAGCCAGTGAGGTTAGGTAGAGCTTTACCAGAGTCTGTCTACCTCTGGAATAAAAATTAAAAAAAAAAAAAAAAAAAAAAAAAACACCTGGAAGGCACGATGGAAAGGGTGCCTCACAAATAATGCATTTTCTGAGTTTTCTTGTTTAAAACAGTTTTTTTAAAAAAGCTTAAAAAATGTCAAAAAAAAGAAAAGGTAATAACATGGCCAATTTGTTACATAAAATGACTTTCTGTGTATAAATTATTCCTAAAAAAAAAAAATCCTGTTTATATAAAAAAAAATCAGTAGATGAAAAAAAATTTCAAAATGGTTTTGTATATTCTGTTGTAAGAATTTATTCCTGTTACTGCAGTATACTCTTGATTCTTTACATTATGGGGGGGGGAAAAGAAACTTTGTCTATTTTGAACGGCTGATGCTAAGACAACTTTAGTTTCTCTTACTCTGCTTTTTTTCTAGTAGTTAAAGTACTACATGGTTTAAGTTAAATAAAAGACTTCTGTATGCATTTTTTTTCGGTCTCCGATTCCCTTTTGTCTTTCTGGACGCGTCTCCACACTTGCAGTGGCAGGGACACAAAGCTCCAGGTGGCATGAGTGTTGACACATGTCACTCTGAAGGGTCCTGCATGAAGGTGGTGCCTTGTTGCTGACGGCTGAGACTTCTCAGCCTGCACATTGCTGGGGAGGATGGGGAGGTTCTTCTGTTTCCCACTCCATGAAATCAGTCGGCTGGATGAAAATTAGAAGGCATCAAATACAGAAATTGGTCCTTCCTGTCTGTCTGACTTGTATACTACTTTTTTTAATGTATTCTTTTTCATTTTTATTTATTATCATTATTCTTCCGTTTTTGACCAGAGAGAGACAGACAGAGAGAAAGGGAGAGTGAGAAAGCAAGCCACCAGGTCCGGGATTTGAACCGTGGTTGACTTTGTGGGAGTTCAGCACCTCAACCACCACGCCACTGTGCTGATCCCCTGTATACTTCCTTCCTGTCCCTTCCACAAAAGTCAGGGCGTGGAGATTCAATCAGGGTGACCCTGGGACAAAAGACCTAAGTTTTATTTCTTTTTCTAAAAATTATTTATTTATTTATTTATTTTTGAGAGATTTTTGCACTAGGGTGCTGGCGCTCACCAGAGAGACGGAAAGTGAGAAATCACCTGCTGGGGGGGATGACCATGCCACAATCCCTTCTCTTACATTCTCCTCTCAGGATTTTGGGCACACACGCAAATGCGCCTGGTGTGAGTTTTAAGTCGCCAGGTCTGAGACTCAAACCTAAGGATCACTGCATGGGAGTCTAGCTACGTAACCATTACACCATCCCAAGTATTATTTGTTTGCTTTTTTTTTTTTTTAAGAATAAATTTACTTACTATCATCATCGTTATTTTTTCATTTGATTCAGAGAGAGACAGGGAGAGAGAGAGAGAGGGAAAGTGAGGAAGTAAGCCACCAGGTTCAAGGACTAAACCATGGTCAGCCATGTGGGAATTAAGTGCCTCAACCACCATGCCACCTGCCGGCCCTCAATTTGTTATTATTTTAAAATTTGTTATAGGGCAGCAAACTGCCAGGTCTGGGACTAGAACTGAGGTTGCCCATGTGGGAGTCCAGTGCCCCAACCACCATGCCAGCTACTGGCCCCCACTTAAATTCTTCATATCTCTATGTCCTTCCTTGTTGGTGCTTAACAGCTAACAAGACCTACCACAGGGGGCGCCCGTGAGAACCAGGTAGACCACGTAGGATGCGGCTGGCCTGAAGTGTTCCCAAAGATTAGTCACTTTCCAGATGACGATGACTGAACTTGTTCTGTCCCTCAGGACTCTACAATCTAGACACACCGTTAACGTTTGTCAAGGGAAATGGGTATGGTAGAAAAAGAAAAGCTAGGGACCACAGGTGGCATGGTAGTTAAGGGCGCTGGACTCCCATGTGGCTGACCACAGTTTGAATCCCAGATCTGGTGACTCACTTTTTCTCACTCTGTTGCTCTCTGGTCAAACTGAAATAAATATAAAGCTAAATAAAATAATCAAAAAGTGGAACCAGCCGTTGGTGTAATGGCTATGTCACGGGACTCCCATGTAGTTGACTGCGGTTCAAGTCCCAGACATGGTGGCTTAAACTCACATCGTTCGCGTGTGCGTGCATGCCCAAGATCCCGAGAGGAGAATGGAGGAGAAGGGATTGCAGCGTGACCATCCCCCCTGGGGGGTGATTTCTCGCTTTCTGTCTTTCTCTTTCTGGTGAGCACGTGTGCCCTATAGCAAAAACCTCTCCAATAATAATAATAAAGTAAAATAAAACATAATAATAAATTTAAAAAAATAAAAACACTGGGCACATGTATGTGTATGCCCAAAATCTCAAGAGCAGACTGGAAAAGGAGCATGGGGTGATTTCTCACTTTCCCTCTCACCGTCTCAACTCTGTCTTCAGCAAGTGCACCTGCCCCATGGCAAAAACCTAAAAAATAGCAAAAAGTTAGTGATAATGTAAAATAAAACATAATAATAAATTTAAAAAAATAAAAACACTGGGCACATGTATGTGTATGCCCAAAATCTCAAGAGCAGACTGGAAAAGGAGCATGGGGTGATTTCTCACTTTCCCTCTCACCGTCTCAACTCTGTCTTCAGCAAGTGCACCTGCCCCATGGCAAAAACCTAAAAAATAGCAAAAAGTTAGTGATAATGCTGACGATGGAGAGAAATGAGCCCCACTATTGTTTTGCTTAGGGACATTTTTGCTATCGGACACATGCTTTCACTGGAGAGCCAGACAGACAGAAAGCGAGAAATCATCCCCTGGGGGGATGGCCACGCCTCAATCCCTTCTCCTCCATTCTCCTCTTGGGATCTTGGGCACGCACGCACCAGGTCCGGGACTTGAACTGCGGTCAACTACTTGGGAGTCCAGCGACACAGCCATTACGCCAACCAGTGGTCCTCCTTTTGTGATTTTCATGGGGGGGCTAATTCAAAATTTTTTCCTGTATGTAAACTGTTTCACAAGCCTTTTTTAAGAGAGATTTTTGCTATAGGGAGCATGTGCTCACCAGAGAGACAGAGCGAGAGAAAGTGAGAGATCACCCCCCCCTTCCCCTTGGGGGATGACCACACCGCAATCTCTTCTCCTCCATTTCCGTCTTGGGATTTTGGGCACGCACTCACACGTGCCTAGCGTGAATTTCAAGCCAGGGGACTTGAACTGCAGTTGACCATGTTGGAGTCCAGCGCTTTAATCATTACGCCACCTGCTGGCCCCTACCAGCCACTTAAAAAAATGCCTTTCAAAGGGCAGTTGAATTCTACACACGGGGTTGAAACGTTTACTTTTTTCTAATTTTTTTCCACGCATTGGTTCCCTTCGGCAGAATCGCTGGGGTTGAGTTTTCTGTGAACCAGGCTTTGAACCTGGGCTTGCCTGGTCTCTTCCAGCATTTCCCGGATGATGACTTGCAAGGCTTTTCCCAACAGGCTGGCCGGGAGCCCTTGCGACAGCGGAGGGACATGGATGAGGGCTGCACAGCCGTGTCCACGACGTAGAGACAGGTAATAGGTGTAATCGCAAACGTATCTGCAACCACACGGAACACCACGTCATCTCACGGGCCAGCCGCAACCAACGCACAAGTGGCCATCTTGGCAGAGACAATGCCACCTCGGGAGAGGCCACTGTTCCAGAAAGGACATGACACTCGGAATGAGCCAGGAACCACCTGGCTCTATTTTGCATTTTTTATTCTAAGGTTTTTGCCATAAGGCATGTGTGTTTGCCAGAGAGAGACAGAGAGGGAGAAAATGAGAAATCACCCCCCAGGGGGGATGGCCACCCTGCAGTCCCTTCTCCTCCATTCTCCTCCTGGGATTTTGGGCATGCATGTGTGACCAGTGTGATTCCCAAGCTGCTAGGGCTGGGACTTGAACCGCGGTCGGCCATGTGGAAGTCCAGAGCCTTAACCACTGTGCCACCGGCTGGCCCCGAGGGACTGGCTCTTGGTCTCTTGGTCTCATGATCTCATGAAGGACAAGTTGGCAAGACAGAAAGGGACTGGGTTTTCAACCTAGTCCAAAGCACGTTTCCCCCAGTGACTCCCTTTAAATTTCTGTCTTCATTGAATCATGTGTTCATTTATTTATTCATTCTTTGGGAAGAGGCATAGCTGCCTGTGGGAGTTTGGGGTCAGAGTTTAGAGAAACAAAAGTAAATTCATCTTTATCTGTGGCTACATTAGCATAGTAAACCCAAAACTTTGGTTTTCCCCCAAAAAAAAATTTTTTAAGAGGTTTTTGCTATAGGATGCGTGCACCTGCCAGACAGACAGAGAGAGAGAAATCACCCCTCAGGGGGGCTGGCACCGCGCAATCCCTTCTCCTCCGTTCCCCACCACGCGCCTCTTTGGATCTTAGGCACGCACGCGTGCCCGGCATGAGTTTGAGCCGCCGGGTCTGGGACTCGAACCGCGGCCAACTACATGGGAGTCCAGCGACATAGCCATTACGCCAACTGCTGCTTCCACCTCCCTCTCTGCATCTTTTACATCAATACACCAGAGGCCTCAGGCCTGGGAGGGAGGTCTCACACACAGACTAAGGTCAGGGTAAGAGCGAGAGCATGAGTCTGCAGGACAGCAAAGAGGGGCGACCCTGAGGTGGCACCCTGTGACCCCGTGGGGCGCTGGGGTATGCCATGGCCTTTGGGGACACGAAGGGACCCTGAGGCATCCTTTCCTACCTGCCTGCTCAGTGCCCCAGTCCCACGGAGCATACCTGCCGGCGTCGCGGGAAAAAGCCACTTCGACCTCTTGCACTCCAACACGCTTGCAGATTGCCTTCATGCTGACCCTGGACTCGATCACTTCCGGGCCACCAGGGATGCACACACCGCCCTCTGGCCGGAAACCCCGGATGTCGGCGTCCGCGTAGCCTCGGTTCTTGCCGCACTGTTCCAGAAAGATGACCTTGGCGGAGGCGTCTACACCCACGTGCACCACGAGCTGTGTGAACACCGCAAACGGAGATCCCTGGGCGCCGAGGGCTCTGGACCCCCCGAGGTGCGGAAGGGCCGCGTGGGAGACCACGGTTCTGGAGCGTGAAACTTCCCAACCCCACATCTGCCGTGGGACCCCTGGATCCCTTGCCTGGGAGCCCTGGTGGGTGTAGCTGGAAGGAAATTTAGCTGGGTTCTTTTAGCTGAATAAAAAGCCATGTTTCGTTTATATTGAACACTTTATATTCCAAACTATTTGGGCTAGCAGATGGTATGGTGGATAAGGTGGTGGATCCCATGTGGCTGACCATTGTTCGAGTCCCGGACCTGGCAGTTTCTCTCTCTGTGAGCTACATCAAATTAAATAATAATAATAATAATAAATAACTATTTTTTTTTTTTATGTCAAACTATTTTTACAAGGTAGTGTATTCTCTTTGTCTGGCAAGGGGATATTGCTGGTAGCTAAGGGTACCACAGGAGAAGCTTAGCATTTTGGTGGACTCTGACATCTTTTTTACTACATTTTAAGGAAGTAATTCATATATAATACTACTTTATCGTATGTTATATTTATATTCATTATATATGACATAATATTAGTTATACTAACACAATATTAATATGCTATCTTATATTAATTACATCAATATGGAATATAATAACTGGAATTATAGAATGTAGTATGTAAATACTTTTAATTTGATTATGTATAGCAAAATTTAAAAAAGAAATAAGATGACTGCTGTGAAGATGGGTCCTCCCTGGGGCATGGAGGACACCCTCTCACTTACTCTACTGGACTCGGAGGTCCTAGGTTCGTGTCCCACCTCATATGTGGGACCTAATGAAGGCCCCTCGCTGGGTGGAACCCGGCTGTCAGTCTTGGTTAGCAACAATGCTTCCATTTCTGTTTTGCTTTCTTGTTATTTTCTTTTAAGTCCAACTTTCTATTTCTGCTTACACTTTTTAAAAAACTATTTAATTTTATTTATTATTATTATTATTTTAAATTTAATTAGAGAGAGAGAGAGAGATGAGAGAGAGGGAAAGTGACAAAGCAAGCCTCCAGGTCCAGGACTTGAACCATAGTTGGCCATATGGGAGTCCAACGCCTTAACCACCATGCCACCTACTGGCCCCTCTGTTTACGAACAGACCCAGATCCTTACAAAATCGGCTGAGACCTCGCGTTACTAGTGACACCTGGCGGTGGGGTGCACTTCAGCCATCAAGCTTAGAACCAGGGCGTGGGGGTTCTCAGACTCTGGGGGTTCCCAGGCTCTGGTGTCACCCTTCATCAGCCTCCCTCCCTGCTGCAACCGCAGAGTCATTTACGTGAGGTCGTAGATCTTTCCAGATTCTGGTAACCCTCTTCTCAGCCTCCCTGTAATCCACAGGCAACTGAAGGGTCCGCAGTTCCACCTCCACGTCGTTCCCCAGGCCCAGCTGGGAGAGCTCCTGCAGAAAGGAACAGTCGATGGTGGCCGAAGCAGTCCCCAACTTTTGGGGCCATCCCCAGGGGGTCTTCTCTGGGCCTAAAATTGCCCTCGGGGCATTCTCACAGTGGCCAGGGGCCAACAGGAGCGCTCTGGTTCCCGCTCAGTGAGACGGACGCCCCACACAGCTGCCCTGCCAAGGCGGGCACCCTCCGGAGGCGCAGCTAGCCAGCCATGTTTGCAGAGAGGATGCAGGTAAGTTCTGTGGACAGGGGGCTGACCAGAGAAGCAGCTGGAGACAGGCATGCCAGACAAGAGTCTAAAGCCATGGTGCCAGCAGGTGGCATGGTAATTAAGGCACTAGACTCCTACATGGCCAGTTGTGGTTTGAGTCCCGGACCTGGTGGCTTTCTCTTTCACTTTCTCTCTCTCTCTGGTGAGGGCACATGCCCTAGAGCAAAATTAAAATAATAATAATAAATAAAATGCAATAAATACTTCTGTAAAAATAAATGAAAATATGTCATTGGACTCCCACATAGTCAACTGCAGTTTGAGTCCCGGACCTGGTGGCTAAAGGCACTGGACTCCCACATGGCCGGCCACAGTTTGAGTCCCAGACTTGGCAGCTTGTTTCTCACTTTCTCTTTCTCTTTGTCTCTGTTCCTCCCTCTCTGGTCAAATTTAAAAAAATAATAATAATAAAATTAAATTAAAAAGAAGCTCTAAAAAATCTAATAAAAAACAAAACCAAACAAACACTAAAAACTCCCACCAGGCATGGGACCGGCAGGGGGCGGGGTTATGGACTCCCACATGGGTGGACTGAGGTTTGAGTTCCAGACCTGGCAGCTTGCTTTCTCTCTTCATTCTTTCTTTCTCTATCAAATGAAAATAAATAAATAAAATTAAGTAAAGTAGTTACTTTAAAAAAAAAAAAAAAAAACAAACTCAAACCGGGCACATGTGCATGAGTACCCAAGATCCCAAGAGTTGAATGGAAGTGAAGGGATTGTCTGTGGCCAACCCCTCTCGGGTGGGGGGTGATTTCCTGCTTTCTGTCTCTCTGGTGAGCGCACGCACCCTATAGCAAAAAACTCTTGAAAAAAAGAGAAAGAAGGAAGAAAGGAAGGAAGGAAGGAGGAAAGAAAGAGAAGGAAAGAGAAAGAAAGACACTCCAGGTGTGTGCACATGTGTGCCGAAAATCTCAAAAGGAAAAACAGAGAAGAGATGGGGGCATGGCCATCCACTGTGGGCGGGACTCGAAGCTGGGTGAGTCAGGAGCACCCCAGAGAGGTGCACCCTCCTGAGACTGGTCCTGGGTGTGGGTAATCACCTGTGATTGGAGATGTCAGCGTTGCAGCCAGGAACCTGATTCATGTCACCTCAGATGGCTCACGGCCCTGCAGGCCCAGGAGAATCAGGCACTGGGATCCCAGGTGTGGCACCCCCAGAATAATACTGGTGGTTTTCTTTTTAAAAAAAAAAATTAATTTAATTTAATTTATTTATTTAAATTTGACCAGAGAGGGGGAAAGAGAGAGAACGTGAGAAAGCAAGCCACCAGGTCCAGGACTCGAACCGTGGTCAGCCATGTGGGAGTCCAACATGCCACCTGCCAGCCCAATACTGATGTTTTCCAAGATTCATAGCATGCTTTGAACATGAGTACCTGTGGGGTGGAGAGGGCAAGAGGCATGCCCAGGAGTCTTCACTTTCTTATTTGATTCCCAGAAGCTCTGTCCAGAATGAAAAAGAACTAAGAGTCATACTTGAGGTCCTTGACCAGCTGCAACATTCTGCCGCCCTGGGTAACCTGTGTGATTTCTGGGTCACCCTGTTTGTGTACTTTTCTCTGTCTTAGCCTATCTATTGCAGGTTATATATTCTTTTCTTTTTTATTTTATATAATTTTTAAAAATTTACTAGGGGCCAGCAGATGGTATGGGAGTTGAGGTGCTGGACTCCCACATGGCTGACCACTGCTCGAGTCCTGGACCTGGCAGCTTGCTTTCTCACCTTCTGTCTCTCTAAATCTCTTTCTCTCACTCTTTCTCTCTCTCTCTCTCTCTGTCTGGTGAGCATGTGTGCCTTACGGCAAATTTTTAAAAAGTAATAATAAATAAAATTATGGGGCCAGCAGGTGGCATGGTGGTTGAGGTGCTGGACTCCCACATGACCTACTGCAGTTCAAGTCCTGGACCTGGTGACTTGCTTTCTCACTTTCTTTCTCTCTGGTTAGCATGCATGTTCTCTAGCAAATTAATAATAATAAATGAAATTAAATAAATCAAAAAAGAACAAATGCTTCTTTAAAAAAATAATAAACACAGGGGTCGGCAGATGGTATAATGGTTACGTCGCTGAACTCCCATGTAGTTCACTGCGTTTCAAGTCCTGGACCCAGCAGTTTAAACTCACGCTGGGTGTGTGTGCGTGCGTGCCCAGGGTCCCCAGGGGAAAATGGAAGAGAAGGGATTGTGGCGTGGCCATCCCCCCGGAATTAATGTTGCTTCCTGTCTCTGTGTCTCTCTGTCTCTCTGGCAAGCACACGTGCCCTATTGCAAAAATCTCTCTCAAAAAACTACTAATAAGGGACCAGCAGTTGGCGTGATGGCTATGTCATTGGACTCCCATGTACCCAACCGCAGTTTGAGTCACAGACCCGGTGGCTTAAACTCATGCCGGGCACGTGTGTGCCCAAGATCCCGAGAGGAGAATGGAGGAGAAGGGATTGCGGTGTGGCCATCCCCCCTGGGGGGTGATTTCTTGCCCTCTGTCTCTTTGTCTCGTCTCTCTCTGTCTTTCTGGCAAGTGCACGCGCCCTATAGTAAAAACAAACAAACAAACAAACCAAACAACAAAAAACTCTCCAAAAAAAAAAAGAAAGAAAGAAAGAAAGTGCAAGACACAGCTGACAGTGTTGGATTTCAGGATGCCAAAATTAAAAACAAAACAAAACAAAACAAAAAATGGCTCTTTGAGTCAAGGAATCAGTGACACAGTAGTTGATGACGATATGGTATCAGCCCTGTATGGAGCTTCAGTCTGGTATCCGGGACTGCAGTGCTGGAAGCCACTTGGCTGACGGTGGGTTGGGGTCCCCACTTGGTCTGCAGACATACCCGGTGTCAGTGCCTGGGTGCCCCAGATCCTGAGGAGCTGGAGAGCTGGGGGTGAGTGTGACATGGGGATTGTGGCGTGATAAGACATTGCAGACGGTGCTTTCTCTCTGTCTCTCTCACGTGCACCCATGCACCCTAATGCATATATATTTTTAAAGAATTATTTATTTTATTTATCATCATTATTATTTTTTCATTGGATCAGAGGAATACAGAGAGAGAGAGAGACAGAGAGGGAAAATGAAAAGGCAAGCTGCCAGATCCATGACTTGAACCGTGGTCGGCCACGTGGGAGTCCAGCTCCTCAACCACCATGCCACCTGCCGGCCCCCATATATGTATATTTTTAAGAAGCGATGAGTCCCAAGTTCCTTTATCTACTTTCTTCTCTGTACCCTCCGAACAGCCCTGCGACATCAGCACTGTGAATTTCATGAAGGAGGAAACTGAGGTCCTGCTGGGGGAAAAGACTTCCCCAAGCTCCACCCCGAGCCCCAGCTCCCGAGGCAGCAAACTCTGCCTTAGGGCGCTGCCCCCCTTCCCAGGAGGGCTGCCAGCCTGCTTTCCCGGAGGCGAGGCAGAGGTGGGAGGCAGATGCGTCACACGCAGGGAGCAGAGATAGGCTGCCTCCTGGGGCTGTGTTTGGTTTTTGTCCCTCCCCTGTGATCTGGTTACCAACAGCCCACACGGCATTGCACGCTGGAGGGTTCTCAGCAGCTCGAGGCCTGCAGGGCTTACCTTCACTGCTTCCCAGCTGGAATTCACCAGGTGCTGCCGGAAGGGCCCAAAACCTGAAACCAAACACACCAGGGTTTCTCAAGCCAGGCCTTGGGAGGAGATCTCTCTTGCTCCATCTCTGAGCACCAGGCCGTTCCCCTGAGGGGGTGTCTTGCTGTCTGCAGGCCATCAGGAGCCCTAGGGGACTCCCACAGCCATGGTGATCCAGGGACATCCTGAATCTCCCCAAGAGAGGCCTTGTGGAGCCCCAAAGGAAAATGTGTTTGGACTCACTGCCAAGCGAGGAGAACTGGGGGATGTGTGTGTGCAAGTGTCTGATTAAAATGCATTGACCAGGGACCAGCCAGTGGCGTAATGGTTACGTTGCTGGACTCCCATGTCGAATGCAGTTCGAGTCCCGAACTCGGTGGCTTAAAACTCATACCGAGTGCTTGTATGTGCATGCCCACGATCCTGAGAGGAGCATGGAGGAGAAGGGATTGCGGCGTAACCCTCCTCCCTGGAGGATGATTTCTCACTTCCTGTCTCGCGCCAGCAAGTGCATGCCCCCATAGCAAAAATATCTCTATCAAAAAAAAAAAAAAAGTAGCTGGAGACATCTCTTGGAATTGAGACACAGCTTTTGGAGGGATATAGCCTTTCTTGATTTCTCTCATTGTCTGTGTTGGTGCCAGGGAGAACACTCAATCGAGAGACAGGGTGTCAGAGCCCTCGGTTACCCGCTCACTGCCTGGAAGTCACCTCGGCCAGAGTGAAACACGACAGAGACAGAGAGAGAAAGAGAGACAGAAAGCGAGAAATCACCCCCCAGGGGGGATGGCTATGCCGCAATCCCTTCTCCCCCATTCTCCTCTCGGGATCTTGGGCACGCACACACTTGCGCCCAAAGTGAGTTTAAGCCACTGGGTCTGGGACTCGAACTGTGGTTGACTACATGAGAGTCCAGCGACATAGCCATTACGCTAACTGCTGGTCCCTGCAAGAGTAATTTGAACCACTCCATCGCTACTCCCGAAAGAATATACGTGAGAGCCAGGGAGATGAAAAATTTTCCAAGCACTTTCTTTTTCTCAGAAAGTCGATGGGCGTTTGAATGATAGTCTGAAAATACTAATATAGGTAACTTCTGGGGCCAGGAGGTGGTGTGATGGGTAAGACATTGTACTCCCGGTCATGGCTGAACAGGGTTCAAGTCCTGGACCCAGCGGCTTGCTTTCTCACTTTCCTTCTCTCTCTCTCTCTCACGCTGTCCCTCTGGTCAAATAAAGATAAATGAATAAATAAAATAAAATTCAATAAAGTAATTCTTTAAAAATTTGTTATTTTTTTTGAGAGATTTTTGCTATAGGGTGCATGAACTCGCCAGAAAGACAGAGACAGACAGAGAGAGAGAAAGTGAGAAATGCCCCCCCAGGGGGCATGGCCACGCCGCAATCCCTTCTCCTCCATTCTCCTCTCGGGATCTTGGGCACGCACGCACACGCGCCCAGTGTGAGTTTAAGCCACCGGGTCCGGGACGCGAACTGCGATCGACTACGTGGGAGTCCAGCGACATAGCCATTACGCTAACTGCTGGTCCCTTGTTATTATTATTGAATTGCCATAGAGCACATATACTCATGCTGGCCCATACCACCTGCTGGCCCCCAATAAATAAAATTTTTTAAAAGCTAGGTAACTTCCAATTTTCCGTGCATGTGGGAATCCTCATCTCTCTTTGTTTCCTTCATCCAACACAATTAAAAATAAACTTGAGGAGCTGGCAGGTGGCATGGTGGATAAGGGCACCAGACTCCCACATGACCAACCACGGTTTGAGTCCTGGTCCTGGCGGCTTGCTTTCTCACTTTCTCTCTCTCTGTCTCACTCTGTCCCTCTCTGGTCAAATTAAAATAAACAAAATAAAGTTAAATAAAAATAATTCTTTAAAAAAAGAAATATTTAAAAAATATCCCTTAAAATACGCCAAATTGGTCTAACCAAAAATATGTATTTATATGTCAAATATGTCTAACAAAAAGCAATAAAAAGCCAAATGTATCTTAAAATGTGCCAAAAAAATGTGTCACAGGACCAACAGTGACACCGTGAGGCACGTGTTACTGGGGGTGACTTGGAAGGTGCCTATGCTCCCCAGGAATGAGCAAGTACCTTTCAGTCCAAGTGACCTTTTGGGGTTCAGCGTCTCCAGCCAGTGGTTCTCTGGGTGTGCTTCAGAGTTCCAGGCATGGCCTCCTGTCTGGGGGTGGGGACGTTGCTCTTTTGGGGCGTGGTCTTTGCAGAGGGACATGGGAGCCTTGCCAGGGCCTGCAGCTCCCCCTTCTTTGCTCCAGACTGCACCCTATGGATGTCACATGTGCCCACGGGTCCCAGACTCAGGGACAGCAGGTGCCAGCGGAGGCTTCCTCCTTGAGGAGCTGAAGGGCCAGGACCGAGCCCAGTCACAAGTGGGCACCTCGCCTGTGCCCTTGAAGGATTATTCGAAACGCACAAACAGCAGCAGCAGGAAATTCTCTGTCCCCGGCTGTTTTAACAGGGCAGAGCAGAAAGTGGCGTCCACCTGGGGTCTTTAACACCAGCAGCTACCACTGTCTTCCCCTGGGGGAACTGTTTAGGGCCGGATCAGGCCCGCATTCCAGGGCAGGCTGTGCGCAGCAGCAAACGGAAAAGCAGGAAAACAGTCTCACCCGTTACGACCACGCAGCTGGACTGGGAATCCATGAAGCCGCAGCGGGGAGTGGTATCGCGTGTGGTGCAACTCTCTGCACCAGGAGCCCCCCCCGCCCCGGGCAGCAGGCTGGCCTGGGGCTCCTGTGGCACTGGCACCCAGCCTGTCCTGGCACTCCTGGGCCCAGGAAGGCCGAGGGCACTGGGCGGGGGGGAGGATGTTAAGGCGATGTTGCTGTCCCTGTCCCTAAGAGCAGAAATAGCCAGCTCAGGACACAGAGCCGCGGGCTCCAGGCAGGCAGAGGGTGACAGAGTCGCCAGGGACTCTCTGGACACTTGGGTCTGGGCCAGTTTGTCCCTCTGGGTATTTCTTTCTTTTGAATATTTATTTATTTTGTTTGTTATTATTTATTTTTAAAATTTTACTAGAGAGCAAGAGAGAGAAAAGGAAAGTGAGAAAGCAAGCCACCAGGTTCGAGACTCGAACCTCAGTCAGCCATGTGGGAGCCCTGCACATTAACCGCACGCCACCTGCCAGCATCTCCCTCCCCTGGGTATTTCAAAGGTGCATGACAGGATTGTCAGCCAACTGCGCCAGGTTGCCATAGGCAGAGGAGTGTCTGGGGTAGGGACTAAGATGTGCTCAAATGGGAATCCTCCTGGGCAGAGCAGAGCTGTGGTCGCCCTGGAGGTTGTTTGTTTAAACTTCTTCCTTCTTTGCTCTTTAATGACTTCCCCTCCCCTCAATGCCTTGGGCCATTCTGTGTGGTGAGATGGGCTGTTCTTGAAACTCGTTATGCAAAATATGTGAAAAGAGATGAGACCTGCAGGTGGTATGGTGGTTAAGGTACTGAATTTCCACATGACCAACTGTGGTTCAAGTCCTGCTCCCAGTGGCTTGAAAAACACACCAGGTGTGTGTGTGTGTGCATGCCCAAAATCCTGAGAGGAAAGTGGAAGAGAAGGCATGATGGTTAGGGGTGCTGGACTCCTATATGGCTGATCATGGTTTGAGTCTCAAACCCAGCTGCTTGCTTTCTCACTTTCCCTCTCTCTCTTGCTCTGTCCCTCTTTGGTCAAATAAAAAAAAAATAAAGTTAAATAAAAATAATTATTTTAAAATATTTTTATTTCACTTTCTTTATTATTATCTAATATTTCCAGGGCAATGTTACAAGACAGGGACAACACAGTGTTACAACTCTTCAGGGTTGTCTGTTTATTGTGGGCCAGGGATGGTGGTTTTATATATGTACATGTTGGTTGAATGAAGGATTGTAAAAGTGGGTTATGATTGGTTGCTTTTGTGGATCAATCATGAGGTGCCGGATATGCAAATCTGAGGGATTCTAAGCTCACCGATTTGCTATGGGAAGTGGCCAATCAGAGTATGGTTTTGAAGGTGAGGTTTTGAAGGGGAGCCAAT